GTCTACACGGAGTACAACAAGTGCTCGGGGGCTGTCTCCAGACACTTTCCACATTGCTGCAATTAAAGCGAGCAACAATGTGTATCCTAGCTAGTATCAAAGGAGACACGCACCTTCACCATGTGCCTAAAATAATGACCCTCAACATCTTTACCTGACATCAACATGCCACACTCAAGGGCATCTGGCAATCAACGCGAGAGCTTTGTACTACATGTAACCTGCGTAAAAGGATTACCCAAATGTTTGGCTCACCTTTACTGGGATCTTCTCCACTGTTCAGATGCATCTTTCTGTCTTACAATGCACTCATTTAGCCAGTCTTGGTCTTCTCCTCAGAGTTGAGCAGAAACTCCAGTGTGAGATGCCCGCTCCTTATGTCTCGCACCGCTGGAGGCTTGTTGGGACGCGCCTACACTCGTGCGTCTTCCTGCTGTTCCCGCGCACTGGAGCAGGTGTAGTCGAGGTGATGTTGAGAGTATGCATGTATTATGACGGGCTCTGGTCCTGAGAAAGGAGGCGCTCAATGGGAAGGTCTCAGCCAAGCTATTAGGGAGGAGACAGCAGGCAGACGGGCGGGGTGACGTGAATTAAGTCTAGTAAGAGGGTCGTCTACTCTGAGATGATGCCCGGGCTCCCTGTAAAAAAAGATGTATAGGCTCATAAACAATGTGTCCAAATAATCCTCGTTAATGTAGATGTATATTGGTGACACAGTGTGACAGTGTGTGTGGTGTGAAATGTATGAGGCAACTGGTTATTGGAGAATGAAACATCGTAAATGTGTTTATTCCCTTTGCATATCCCTCTAGACGGGTTTATTTATGAGCAACAATCAATCAAATCAATGGAAAGTGGCTAAATGGCTGTCAAAGGCAACCCGAGTGTGGTCCAACATGATGACAATACCCCATGTAGTGATGTATAGCCAAGTAGCATCTGCCCAGGTCATTATCTACAATTATAATGAGATTTATACCCTGGTGGGGCACTTGTTCTATTTTTACACACAGCCTTTTGAATAGTTTGCGTCTGGATTTGCTGGTGCGAGTCGTGAGTTCATGAATATCTTTAGAGAATATACAATCAGAAGAAGAGGCCTAAACACTAAACAGTGCAAGCAACACATTCACTCACCGTTCACGTTCACACCAGCCGCGTCCCAGATGCGGTGCACTGGCGGCCTCTACTGGACAGTCACACAACATGGGGAAAACTCGCCAAATAAAGTATATAAAATAGCTCTATCACAAGGGAGAAACAGATTAGCTTGTCTCATTTAGAAATATGTAGAGACTGTATCATAAAAAAACTGTGTGTTTGGAAACCTAGAAACAAATTATAGTTTATTTATAAATGTTATTTGTATAATATTAATCTAAAAATGTTTTGTTAATTTGTCAGAAGGTGTAAAAGGGGATTTGGATTATGATAATTCGGGTAAAGACATTCTGAGGCAACAATTCCACAAATATAGGGGCGGCAACGGGTTCGATTCCACCTCCAAACAAGGACTTTCTTAGTGGAGTTTGTATGTTCTCGCCACGTCTGTGTATATTTCTTCCGGGTGCTCCAGCTTACCTGTTAATATGTCCTGTCTCTCTGACTCTGAGATTGCCATTGTAAATAACGTCACACAAATATTGTGCAATATCACTAATAGCATAGTCAAAAACATTTACAAAGGCATGCATTAAACTCATGATAAAATTCCAATATATAAATGAACATTAGACATATAACAGCGCAGGTTTATTTGTTTGTTTTAATTTGAATTACTTACTTACCACTTACAAGTTAACCCATTATTCAAGCATTACATTTTGCATATGTGTATAGAATCATACACAAACATTGTAATTATATCATACACATGTTCATGGCACAGGTAAGGTAACTTAAAAACAACAACAACAATGGCAGCTGCCAACTACCACTGGGATAAGATCACATCACCAAATAAAGCAACATGGACACACTGAAACACATTTGACTTACAGCTGTATCCTCCTGAGACCCGAGCATTTGTCTGGTGTGCATTTTATATATTTTTTTGCTATTTAGGATAAGTAGGACCCAATAAGTATAATACCTAAATTGTGATTTTGTACAGGAAGTAGTTTTTGAGAAAAAACATGTCCTCGTATGAGGACAGTGGGTCTCTCATAACCTAAAGAAAAAATGTATGCTCTTTGAGGCCGGAAGGTCCTAATTAGTTGAAATTCAAAATTTCAGCTTGATCCAATTAGTACTTCTCTCAAAAATCAATGTCCTCATATGAGTACAGTGGGTCGACCTTACTATACAATACAAATAGACTCCATTGGTCTAAAATAGTATATAACAGTTTATTTGAAAAATGTAAACATCAAAGTTAGACATAAAATCCAAACAGCTCTATCTTCAAAGCCTAAAAATGTCATGGTGTGGACATTTTGACCTGGTTGAGTTTGAATCCTGCCTGTCCTGTTGATTGTTGCCCCGCCCTAATGTGATTCACCTGTGTGTCCCTGTGTGTGTATATATACCCTGTGCCCTTCCTCTCTTGTTGTCCGTCCATTGTCTCCACAACGTTTGTCCTGGCTTCAGTTCTGTTTTTACATTACCTTGGATTTATTTTATTAAATTACTTTGATTTTCAGTCCTGCAATTTGGGTTCCCTTGTTCTTCATTCATCCACATGACAAAAAATTGGCTATACATAAATAAAACTGCAAAATACTGTGTAAACTGTCTATTTCAAGCCTTCAATATGGCTGAATTGAATTGATAAATACAATACTAGAACAAATAATGGCAAATATTATTAACAGTCCTAAAAGAGTAAAATTCTGCTGAACAGCTTTTGAACCGGGGCTTTTTTCAAACTAGCTCCCTCTCTTTTTCTAGAAAGCAATCTGCCTGTTTGGAAGAGCCCTATTGGCAAGTGTGAAATGCTGCAAAGCAGTTGCGTTCACTTTGCAAGCACAGGTACACATTGCATGTCATGCATCGGACACAGGATTTTCCAATGCAGTCTTGTGCTCTGCAACGCATGGGGTTTTTCAAGGCTACCATCTCCGGGTTAGGGTTAGGGTTACAATATCCCCAGTCGAGGTCAGCAGCTCTCCATCTGCACCATACACGGTGTTGGCAAAGAACTGCTTCCCCCTCCTGAGGCGCCGGAGGGTTTGCCAGAACCTTTTTGAGGCCGACCGATAGTCATGCTCCATGGACTCTCCGAAGTCCTCCCAGTCCCGGGTTTTTGCCTCTGCAACAGCCCGGGCCGCGGCACGCTTGGCCTGCAGGTACTGGACAGCTGCCTCAGGAGTCCCACGAACCATCATTGCTCGATAGGACTCCTTCTTCAGCCTGACGGCATCCCTTACTGCCGGTGTCCACCACCGGGTTCGGGGACCAGCACCAGAGACCTTGCAACCACAGCTACGAGCCGCTTTATTGGCGATAGAGGAAGAGAACATGGTCCACTCGGACTCAATGTCCCCCTCCTCTGGGTCCTGGGAGAAGCTCTCCCGGAGGTGTAAGTTGAAAGTCCGTCTGACAGGGGGCTCAGCGAGACGTTCCCAGCAGACCCTCACTACACGCTTGGGTCTGCCAGGTCTGACCGGCTTCCTCCCCTGCCAGCGGATCCAACTCACGACCAGGTGATGATCGGTTGACAGCTCCGCCCCTCTCTTCACCCGAGTGTCCGAGACAAGCGGTCGAAGGTCAGATGATACGACAACAAAGTCGATCATTGACCTCCGGTCTAGGGTGTCCTGGTGCCACGTGCACTGGTGGACACCCTTGTGCTCGAACATGGTGTTCGTGATGGACAGACCGTGACTGGCACAGAAGTCCAACAACTGAACACCGCTTGGGTTCAGATCAGGGGGGCCGTTCTTCCCGATCACCCCTCTCCAAGTGTCACTGGCATTTCCCACATGGGCGTTGAAGTCCCCCAGGAGAATAACAGAGTCCCCGGGCGGTGCACTGACCAGTACCCCTCCCAAGGACTCCAAGAAGGCCGGTACTCGGCACTGCCGTTAGGCCCATAGGCCGTCACAACAATGAGAGACTTGTCCCCCACCCGGAGGCGGAGGGACGCGACCCTCTCATTCACCGGGGAGAACTCCAACACGTGGCGGCTGAGATGGGGGGCAATGAGTATGGCCACCTCAGCTCGCCGCCTCTCCCCGCGGGAAACTCCAGAAGCTGACTGACAAGTATGAGATGATGATGCAATCATCCCCATCTGAGAAGTCATAGAGGACTTCTCAGAGTTGTCTGCAATTGCCAACAGCAATTGTTCTGCTCTTGATAATGAAAGTGTGCCTGTAATGATAATTTTAAAAACCAACATCAAAATCTACAGTATATCAGTGACACATCATAGCTTGGCTATCATGTGCTAGCTATAGCCTAGCTATAATGTTTATGATTAAGCATTTAGCAACACTTCACAATACTTAGCATATACCACTTAGTACTTAAATATACTATTTACAACTGTAAACCACATAACTGAGCAAATGTGTGATTCAAAATAACTATTTACAACTGTAACTTCATCTAAATCTTCCACACGGTTAGCTAAACAGATAGCGGTACATAGTCCTAGCGTCCTCAAACGAGTGCTTCACTTTTACTGACATCCTAGCCTGCTACTACAATCAAAATTTTTCAAATTTCAAACTCCATATGAAGCTAGAGACATTATTGTGCATAAATAAATTGATTTCATTCATAAAATGTTGATAGAATTTTTACCTGGGGCATTTTTCTTCTGTAAACTCTTGTAGAAGTGTTTTGCTGATATTCCCGCCATTTCTTTCCTACTGCCTTAAGTGTAATTCTATCATATCACCACAAGATGGCGCGGGCAGTGTCCCTAAATGTGGCCATCAGGTCAAGGATGTAAAAAATTGAGTATCATTGTGCCAAGAGGCAAAAATGTAATGTCCTCGTATGAGGTCGCAGGGTCTCAGGAGGATAAAGTTGTCAAACAGGTGTCCAGAGTTATGAGACAGAAGCAGTAAGTAAGTAAGTAAATGTGCCTTTCACAGACCAGGATCACAAAGCGTATGTAATGGGCTGGTATATACTGATGGAATATGCCAACAAGTGTCAGGTGTGGATTTTGTTGGTTCTAGGTGGTTTAGTTTTAGTTGCACTTCCTGTCCTGTTCCCCTGTGTTAATTGTCTGCCCCGCCCTGATGTGTCTCACCTGTGTCTCTGTGTGTCTATTTGTACCTGTGCTCTTCTCTCCTTGTTGCTGGTCCATTGTCCTTGTCTGTTTTTTCCTCATCTGTCGTTTTCCTGTTTCCCGTGTTTCATTTTGGATTTTCAAGTTTGCTTTTTTCCTCGACTTTAATTTCACCGTCTTCATTAAATCATTATTCTTGCATTCCTGAAGTTTGGGTTCTTCCATCACTTCACCACGTGACAACAAGGTCATTATTATGTAGTAAAACATAAAGTTATCTATGATTCCATTCAGTATCTTGGACAGTACCATATAATTTGGGGCGGGGGTGGTTGGGGTGGATCTATTATTAAATTGATTTCATACTCTTATAGAACAATGTGTTTATTCAGATGACTAACTAAGGGTTATAGTCCATTGCACAAATTACAGCTATTATTGTTTCTTAAAGTTTCTGTACCAAAGCGTGTGGCACTCACTGGCTCCTGACAATACTGCCGTGTGTGACATTGGACAAAAGACCCAAAGAACATTTTCTCTGCAGAAGTTCTCGTTGCGTCAGCAGCTCCCCGTCTCTCTGCACACGCTCACTTTGAGATTAATATTTATAAGCCTGTCACTTTGTCTTCTCTGAACTCAAAACAACACATTCATCAGCTGCACTCAGCCGTTGCTTAATCCTTCAGGCATGCTCCTGACATTTCATGATTTCTTTACAAAGATTTCAGCACAATGTCATGATGAGGTGTTGTATGCAGCCGTAGAACAAGACTCTCTTTTCCTCACCCAGTTCATTTCAGACCCATTATCCCCAGCGTCATCATTGTTATTGCTGTCAAGAGGAAAAGCAAGGAATTTATTTATAGCACACTAGAAACCAATGCAAAGTGCTTCATTGCCTACACTTTGTATTATAATGAAAAGCAGGAGACACAGAGGTGCTGAAACAAAAACAACAGAACCACAAAACAAATAAGAAACAAATAGGACATTAAACGTCAGAATTGGATTTATAAGGCGCCTCGGGAAGCAATTAGTGTAATCAAACCTGCAGAGCTCGGACTTAAAAAGACCTATCCACCACAAAGATCTATTCAATAATATAGATAATTATTATAATAACGTGAGTAGGTCTTTGCCACATTATTTGGGGATAAACTCTACAATAATTTCTGTAACAACCAACAGTGGTGAAACAATGGATCCACAATCATACATTACAGCTAATAATGTAATATGATTGTGTAAGATGCATATGATCTGTTTACACAATCATAACAGATCATATGTATCTTTCCCTCTGCTTTTGAGCTGTTTGTCTTATGTATGTATGGATGTACAGTACAGACCAAAGGTTTGGACACACCTTCTCAAAGAGTTTTTTATTTTCATGATTATGAAAATTGTAGATTCGCACTGAAGGCATGAAAACTATGAATTCACTCATGTGGAATTATGTACGTACTAAACAACTGAAAATATTTGTCATATTCTGGGTTCCTCAAAGTAGCACCTCTTGCTCTGATTACTGTTTCACACACTCATGGGATTCTCTTGATGAGCTTAAAGAGGACCTGAAATGGTCTGAGTTCCCACAGATGCTTAGCACTTGTTGGCCCTTTCGCCTTCACTCTGTGTTTATTTGAGTTGAATTGTGTATTGAATTTCAAACATGCACAACACAACTTTACTAATCTTCACAGAAAAATATACATATACATGGTTTGAAAAGGGATTGGATGAAGCAAACACTTCTATTGTTCCACTCTCCTCTCAGCATTCAACACAAGACACACAATACAAAACAATAACACCACACAGTACAATTCAACAAAACATTATTGCAATATTGATTTGATTATTTTTATTATTTTTATTTTTATTACTATTAGTATTGTTTTTATATTATTATTTTATTACTATTATTATTATTTTCACAAATTATTGAATTTGTATTATTTTATTTGTTTTCTAATTAATTAGAAATAGTGTGGGTAAGGCCTTAGTGCACACGTATCTGATTCACATACAGTATTTGTCATTTATCCTCCGAGTGGTGAGTGAAATACATTACAAGTCTTGAAGAATAACTATTATTAAAAATATGAAATGAAATAGGACTCACATACACAGGACAGCCTTCTTCATCATATGTGTAGATTTTGTTCATCAAACCTTCAGGTCATTTCCATCGACAGTTTTGAATTTGTTACATTTTACATTCCACTGATACATTGAGCGGCGATAATTATCTGGCCTTCAAGAATATCAAGCTTTCCTGGACCTAAGAAAGATGAGGGGGGGAACCAACGGAAAGATTCTTGTCATAGTAAAATGTTATTAACAAATCAGACATCAACTTGCAAACTTTATCTTAATCGAAAATATGTTATGTTTACTTTAGTTATGTTTGACGTTTAGGACCTAAAGTTTTGAGAAAGACCAAAAGCATATGCAGGTGAATTAATGATAAGCCACTTTGAGAGAAAGGAACTATGTTTGTTATTTAATAGTCAATGTCTGTGTGGTTTGGTACCCCAGCTCATTAAATACACTAGATTATAATCTAGTCTATTTAGTATCTTAATCATAAAAAACAACAGCAAAGGCCACACACCAACATCAATCATCATTGTAAGCAAGTGAGCGATCAGAGCACAATATTTATAAGATAATGCTCATGGTGAAAACAAATGTATGAACACTAGGTGGCAGTGCAGATCTGATTTTGTCTGTTTAGGAGCGGGAAATCCACATCAAGATCAGTTAACAGGTTTGTTTTGGCCTGAAAGGTTGCAGTTCTAATGAAATAGACCCACACAAATTCATCTATTCTTCAGTGTTTTATATTTACCGAAGAATTAAAATGCCCACGAGTTGTCTACTAATTTGCCCCTACGAGGTATTGGCTGTTTGTTTAAAATGATCACTATATGTATGTTTGCCATTGCGTGGATGACAGATAAATGCATAAGCAAGTATTTGACATTGGGCTCTTGTAGTAGCAGGTCCAGTGGGGCGGGGTGGCAGCTGCGCTCGCCTCTTTGGTCCATAGAGGCATCAGACTCCTCCACAGACTGCAGTGGACTCCTATCATTGGTCTATGCTCGATCCTGGGCTGTGTGTACGCGACTGCTGCTGCTACTGCTGCTGCTGCTGAGCCAGAGGGATGCCAGACTTCCCTGCGCTAGATCTCGAATTTTACGCAAGAAGGTGACTCGATACGCCGATCCAGGTAAGATGCAATATCACTTTATTATGTAAAACGCAATGGAAGCGGTGTGAATGCAGGAGAGTAGACTGGCGCGCTCGCGTAGTGGCGCATCAGTCTTGTAATCCGCGGGGTGATGGGAGCAGGAGGATGCTGATGGTGTCCTAGTACTCAGGCATCACCAACAAAACAATATGGGATATTTGTAGGGCAACTACGACGCGTTTTAAAACGTAGTTACCATTTACGCATGTCGGTGATTCATCTTTGCGCATGATAGTATTTGGCAATGTCTGGATGAGAAGCCACGGGCCTTTTTATGTGTGGTTTAGATAATGTACTCATAATTGGTTATATAGTTTTTTAAAAAGCATGACAGTGTAATTTGATAATGCAGGTTATACTTACAGCCAACTAAAATCGTTATAGCCACTTTAGAATTACGCACAACGTGCAATGAGTGATGTTATGGTACAGTGATGTTGGTGCCAATAAATGTACTTCAGAGACATGGAATTCAGGAAAGATTTAGACTTCAGGTATTACACGGACCACTCACTCCATCTCACGTGGCAGTGACCTGTCCGGTGGTGATCCTATATGTCCATTTGGAGTTGTGTCCCATAGTGTCTCAGTGCCAGCCTGTGTCATAGGAGCCTGAGGAGGACAGCTGATGACACGGCTGTGTCTGGTCATTGTTCAAGGAGCAGGGGACAGGCGCATAGGGTGTGCTTTATCTCCCCCAGTAATACAGAAGGGAAACAAGTTGTTCCCTAAACATTATTATTTGGATATTTGTTTTTTAATTTTTTGTTTTTGCATCATTGTTGACTCAGCACTGTGCTTCAATCTTACACGGTTACACCCCTGTTAAAGCGTGTGTGTTGATTCTGCTTAATAGATTAAGACATGAAACAATAGTATTGTTCGTTTGCACAAAGCAGATGAGTGCCAACAGAAAACAGTTATTTGAAACATTTTTCCCTTACTTTACGTAAGTAAGTATTTTACAGCTGACATCTGTTTGAAAAGTATAATCTAAATGATGCTTTGAGGGGGTGGCAATCAGAGCTGCACCCAAGTCTCATAGCACCAGTCCCTCGCTGATCCTCCTGCAGGTGGTGGGTCCACGGGATGATGGCTTCTCTGTCATCAACGAGATGGCCTTGGTCTTACAGTGGGGGCTTCAGGCAATGTGGGGTTAAGTGTCTTGCCCAAGGATACAACGACAGCAGACATCAGTGGGAGCAGGTGACATGGGTCATGGTGGGCTCGAATCCACGACCATTAGGTCTCTACCAACTGAGCTACTGTTCCCCCAGTATGTATGAAATATTTCAAAGAAAAAACAAAAAATAAAACAAAGTAACGTATAACAGTACAGGCATAATATGAAATGTCTAACAAAGTAAGGAATCTCAAAAGTAACATGACATGAGTTGTGTACGTGTGTTTTGTTATGCCCATGATATTTTTAGTAAAACTAAGCAAATATGAAGCAAAAAACACAGAGCCCATCCTGTCTTTGTGCTACATTATTTGTGGTCTGTAATGACTTTTCCACCATTTGACATAAGCTCTGACCCCTACCGGTAGTATTGCTTTGGCGATATTTACTTTTTGTGATCAGTTATCATCTCTTCCCTGTTGTAGCAACCAACCCCAAATGGGCTGGACAGAGGGAGGGCTGTGAGTAGCTCTTTAGGAAGATACAGTGACCCTGGAGAGCCATGCAAAGGTCTTAAAGGCCTCTGAGGATCTACTGAGTGTGTTGACTTTATGTTGTGGTGAGTGAAGCGCCTCTTTCTCCGGGAGGCTGCGTGTTGACTCCTCCCTCAAGTCTGAAATATCTTGTTTAAGCATCTAATTTTCAATTTTCAAAATAGTTTCTAAATATAATGCTCAAAACAGATGAGATAGACACGATTGAAAAAAGGAGGAACAAATGTCACTGTCGAAGTAAACTACATCCATGAAATTAGATCACATAATGATTCTTTGCTAATATATCTGTTTGCACATTCATTGCAGCCTAAATGCACAAAGCAGATGTTTCTAAACTATTGAAGTGCAGCAGTTGTCCAATCATAATGTAATATTCTGTGGATTATCTTCTTAATGTACACTAATATTGTGTCCGATTTATATTGCTCTTTCTGACACTCTCTCACATACTCACATCTTAAAAGTGTCTGCATTGACTAGTGCAGTGGATGGATGTTTAACAGCAGACTGTTATGGCCCAGCCTGTTGCTGTTATTATTTCTTATCAGATTCAGATTCTTATTAAGCTAATTGACAGTTATTTTAAATCCTGCAGCATTCTCAATGTGAGAATGGGTTGTTTTGTTTGAACACCAATGGTCACAAACCTGAACAAACATATACATATATATACATATTCATTCTTTCCTTAACACGGATCAGTTGCCCTTAGCAGAAAAACAGCCCCAAAGCATGATGTTTCCACCCCCATGCTTTAAAGTAGGTATGGTGTTCTTGGGATGCTACTCAGTATTCTTCTTACTCCAAAGACAACAAGTTGAGTTTATACCAAAAAGTTCTACTTTGGTTTCATCTGACCACATGACATTCTCCCAATCCTCTGCCATGTGCTCATCCATGTGCTCTCTGGCAAACTTCAGACAGGCCTGGACATGCACTGGCTTCAGCAGGGGACACGTCTGGCACTGCAGGATTTGATTCCCTGTCGCCGTAGTGTGTTACTTTGGTCCCAGCTCTCTGCAGGTCATTCACCAGGTCCCCCCGTGTGGTTCTGGGATTTTTGATCACCGTTCTCATGATCATTTTGACCCCACGGGATGAGATTTTGCATGGAGCCCCAGATCGAGGGAGATTATCAATGGTCTTGTATGTCTTCCATTTTCTGATAATTGCTCCCACAGTTGATTTGTTCACACCAAGCTGCTTGCCTATTGTAGATTCACTCTTCCCAGTCTGGTGCAGGTCTACAATTATTTTCCTGGTGTCCTTCGACAGCTCTTTGGTCTTGGCCATAGTGGAGTTTGGAGTCTGACTGTTTGAGGCTGTGGACAGGTGTCTTTTATACAGATAAGGAGTTCAAACAGGGGCCATTAATACAGGTAACAAGTGGAGGACAGAAGAGCTTCTTAAAGAAGAAGTTACAGGTCTGTGAGAGCCAGAGATCTTGCTTGTTTGCAGTTGCAGTATTGCACATTGCACATGATTAAAGTATTTACTTATTTACAGATGAATGAAATTCACAGGCTCAGCAGTTCTCATTGTACAGTCTGAAAGCAGCAGCATTGGATAGGGGCAAAAGAGTTGAAGTTAAGAGGGAGAAGATGAGGCCAAATTGGCACCAGGCTGGTTGAAGTGCACGTTATGCCTGTTCTAACCTTATATCCACTATAATAATCTGACTTTTGCATAGTAGTGGCATAATGATGAGTATGTGACGATCTTTCTCAGTGAAGTCTTCCTTTCGTCAGAACTGTGCTGCAGAGAACTGTGGCCAACAGAGTATGAATACTGCTGATGGAAACATTCTGTTAAATTGATGTTTAATTCAAGGATCTTCTGTCTCCCTCAGGTAGTTTGAAACCAAACCAGTGAAGTGAATCTTTTACACAGCAGTGGTTTTTTTGCGCTATCAAGACAATTTTCTTCAGTTTTCCAAGTTAGTCACTGGATAAAAAAAGACCTGGACAAGACACGTTTACAGCTTTTTTTGTCGAATTACTTTGGAGTGTGGTCAGTCCCAACTGTGTGTTTGACAGTGTTCTCGTGTCACAATGGGACACGGCAACCATATTGGAGATACTAACGTTGTTTTGACAGCTCTGTCTCATTGAATTGGTGCTTTTCTTTGAAACTGTGATCTGTGGCTCTGCCCCTGTCCTGCCTCCGGTGTGAAACTCATCAGTTTGATACTTTACATCTGAGATAGTCTTAATATGTTCATCCAAGAAAGATAGTGATAATATTATACATTATTATATCATAACATATGTCATATATTATATTATATGTCATATCCCTATGACAACATTCAGATTTTATTGCATTATTAATTTCTATGGATGGAGTGTGCATGGATAGGAAAGTGCTCGGACTGCTGCCATTTGTGCTTCTGTAACCTGGCAATGGATAAAGCAGAAGAAAATGGATGGATGATAAATGCTTTATTATTGCAGTATTATCTATGATCATACATTATCAATTCATGCAGTATTTATGCTCCTCAAAGTGAAATTCTGACAAAAAATTGTTTGTCCTTCTCTCCAGCTGTGTATTTCTATTTTTCACAATTTTAACTTTAATCCATTTTGAAAATAATAATTCTGAATTATTTCATCCTGTTGTCATGTTCCATCAGTGATGATCTCCATCACTGCAGACCATTTTCTGGTTTACAACTTTAAGAAGTTTTTGAGTTTTTTTTTGCTGACCATTCATTCATCCATAAAATACTTTCTTGAATCTTCATAATTTGTGGCATTTCCTTAATCGTGCTCACTGTTTCACCTCTTGAAGCAAATCACTTTTACACTGCTTGACTAAATCAGGTCACAATGGCAGTAAAGGGAAATGGTGTGGAAACAGCCAAAAGGGGAAGAATTTCTCAAAAGGAACTCATTCATGGGTGCATTAATCATGGGTGGTACCAAAGACAACTCCCCGAGCAGAGATGCACTATCGTATTTTGTGTGAATGTTTTCCTCTCTCAGGCAGTGTTTTCCAAAGTGGGGTCCAGTGCTGGAGACCCCCAAAGGTTATCTATAACCAGCAATTAGAATGTATCATATAAATATAAGTTTAAAATTTTGATTTTAACTTTTTAAGTTGTGTTTTGGTCTAACTATAATGAGGAAACCATTCCAATATGACACACAGACACTGCAGATGGAATCGATCTGTTTAGCTCTAACCTGATGCAGAGTAATGCTGTCCTTAATGCCTCTGTGCATTGTCCCTTCAAATGAAGACTAAACTACACTTTTTCAGCCAAGATAATTCTGGTGTTTCAGCACTACAAAGTC